AAACGATCTTTAAAAGTATTTGAGATTAGGTTTTTACTTATTAAATATTTCATTGAGATTGTTATATTGACATTATGTAATGAGCTTTTTCTTTATTGGATATCATATTATATATTTTATATTTAAAAACCCACTATTAACCCTTTGCCCTACAACAACGTGCAAGACTTGTGGCGAAGATTTTAAACAGAATTTCACAGTAAAAATGAACACAGAGGATGCATAGAATTTGTCTCTGTTTTCAATTGATTATTAATAACAAAGTTATTGTATCGGTCACAGTTGAGAAATAAATTATAGGGCAAGGAGTTAAACAGTTTTGCAAGAAATATATACGAACTTTTGAAATTTTCACCAGAAATATTTGACTTCGAAAGCAATTAATGACAAAGTAATGATCTACTAATTGTCATGTGACCTTGCGCGACCCGGTTCTAGTAATCTGGAATACCCATTCGGGCCGTAGTTCCGGTTGACCTACATGTGAAATTAGCGGGTTTTAAAATCGTTCCAATTGTCTCGCTTAAACATTTAAACGAAGAACAGTGCTGCCGACTCATTTTATGTTTCTAACAAAAATGTTCAGTTTCATATTGTAAAGTGTATTAGCAAAAAATTTTATCCTCTTCTAGCTTAATTTATTTTGCTGTACAAATTAAATAGATTTACAGGATGTTCAACTATATCAAAGTTGTTACGTCACAGATTCTCCAACTTATTCAAATGACTATTTTAAAACTTAAATGAATTAAGTTGCAACAAACATATCAAATAAATAGATAGTTAAGTATTGCTAAACGTCTAACGTCATTGTAAATTATAGTACATATAAAACATATTACAATCTAGAATTATTTATAATTATCCTGCTAATCTGTTTCCTACGGAAGCCTATCAATATTATTTTTGTTTTCTGTTGCAGGTGAGTCGGAAATCCCAACTACTCTTATCAAAGGAACAGTTGATAAGTAATTATACAATTGGTTATATTTTTTCGTTTTCTACGTAGAGCGTTCGTTTTAAGGTCACAGTATACCTGAGTCATTGAACTTGCCTTGATACCAGTTACATCGATGTAAAGTTAAAAATACACGGTGCCATTTAACCCTTTCGCTATTGTTGGCGTCTACAGACGTCCTGAAAGTTCGTTCGATGTATTATATGTTATTCGTGCCTTCAGGCGTCGAGCATATATCGTTGTGATGGTATATATATTGACGCTAGGATACGCACCGGAGATGTACGCCAGTAAAAAGTTCCGCCCTCCCTGGTATCGGTCACGGTTAAACGCCTGCCGTCTGTCGCGCATGCTTTGTATTAGAATTCGCTTGAAGGTTTATAAAACCATTCGTGACCTTTAAATAACCTTGAAAATAATATTCCAGAAGAAATTTATTTAAAAAAAGATACATTTTTTAAGACAAAAATACAATAATACAGTAATTTTTTTAAATAAAAATGAAATAATAAAATAGCATTTGGAAAAAAAATAAAGTAATCAAATAGCATTTTAAAATAAAAATAAAATAATACAATGTTTTTAAAAATATAAATAAAATGATCAAATAATTTTTTAAAAATCAGAATAAAACAATAAAGTATTTTTTTTTTGTTACACAGAAGTAAAGTTCAAATTATTTTAAACCGTTATACTAACCTCGAACGGCGTCGTTATTTTATACTGATAGAGGTATTAAAATGTTTCGTTTCTCGTAACTCGTCCCGTGTACGCGTTACTTGTGAAAATCTGAATGATTGGTATCTCTTCCTGCTGACATAATTCTATTATAATGCAGTGAATGACTTCATCCATAGCTTTTTTCGAAAATATTGAAGACGTCTTGTAACATATAAGAATCAAATTAGGTTTGTATAAACATATATGCTATTTGACTTTGAAATTATATACTTTTCTGTTATTTTGCTTTGGAAACCTCACTTAAGATTTAGGCCCAGACACTATAACCTACATAACTATCTCCTTATTCGTGTTTGTATTATTGATTATTCTAATTCTAAGCATAATCACGATTACAAAGACTTAGGCCATATTTTATGCCACCTATACAATTTACATAGAGTCAAACTAAGTAATAGCCTGCGTAAACTTAGGTTCCTTCTACTTTCGAGTTATAGCCAGTTCGATTTTCAATGAACTTATCCATTTACTTTCACGAAACATGCTCGAAATGGTCTGATACATGTTCGCCAGGCTGCAGATGTCTTACTATTGTCCACCTTACTTTCTTCACATGTTCCACTGTTACTCGGATTTGCTGGAAACTTTATTCGATTCGTTCACGAAATATTTCAGCGTCATTCACAACTGTCAATGGATGTTTTGTGTAGAATGGATTTGAAATAACACCAGAAGCTTCTTTTATCTGAAAATTGTTTGTCCAAAAATGGTCTAGAAGGTCAACTAAAATGTGGTGAGACATCATTCTACATGAACCTTGTGGCGGTGATATCCGCTAGTACAGTATATCGTATACTTTATTCAACGTTGCATTTAACGTTTTTCACTTGAAGCTTTTTCTCACTGATATTACCAAGAACTTGAAGTAATTTTAATATAAACAACATATTAACATATAAATAAATGATACGCGCATGGAAAGAAAAATCGTAAATGTACTTTACCGTTTTCTATCGATTATAGATATAAATATTATAATATATTTAATGACAAAATTTTACAGTTTGCAATGACAAATTTTAAATGGCTCTGCTTCGGAAATCTGGAGTGCAAGGAGTTCAGTATGTATTTAACCCCGTAAGGACCATTTCCGTGTATGCATGGTTACGTTTTTGTTTTTTGAGTATACTCTGTTGTTTATAAATCGACTATTCGACTTATTTCACTGCTTCACGAGAGACTTTACGAGGGACTATATTAAACTTTACTATGTTTTATTTAAATTTTTTTTAAATTTAAGATTATAATTTAATGAAAATTCTTCTATATAAATGAAAAGCTTTTCTTCGGAAACATTGAATAACAATTTTATATTAGTAATCAAGTGGAAATATGACTAATGGTTGACTTGAAGTTTATATGTAATGTTGCGCACCGAGAAAAGTTGTCCATTAGTCCAATTGGCTAACGTGATGAATTTCATCGCGAGAAGAAATAGAGAAATTTATCATTCCACTATGAAAGTAATGGATTTTACAACACAATTCAAAATTTTCTACCTTCGTAAAAATGAAGATCGTTTGAAAATGATTACAAAATTGTCTTTCTTTGTAAAATGCTAATATGTTGTGATACAAAAATTTATTAACTTACTAATTTCAACGAGTTTTTGCAAATTAATTCGATTCATAAGGGGTTAAGAAGTAAACGTAGGATACACTTGTTAATCGATTATGGAGAAAGAAGCCGATCAATTTCTTTTTATTTAAGGCTAATTGAAACTCTCGGTACAGAATCCTAAAGCATCAAAATTGAGTCAAATTATTGCTTTGATGCCTGTCAATACATTTGAACGAAATTTTTGTAAACGTCTTGAGTAGTAAATGTGCCAATAACTATGCCACAGTACTTAAACATTGATATAAACATTAATTATTATTAAGCTACACGTCATAAGTGCAATAAAAATTTTATTAATAAAGAATTACTTGCCTCAGTTGCATTCTAATATTAAGCATGTTCATTCATTAAGTTCATATATGTTATTTCTTGGTTATGGTTCATTCCCATTTCCACTTGAAAATTACAGGTACGCTTTAAATATTTATAAACGATGTAATGAAACTAATTAAATTATTTCCGTCCGTCGAAAGAATTGTTGCATCACAAAAAACAGCTGTAATATAAAAGTAGAAACGAGTTGTTTACACATTTTATGGAACACCCTGTATAAAAAATGCAACCGAATAACGAAAGTACGTTTTCTATTCTATTTTGCTTGAATTATATGACGCATGTTGTAAATATGCACACAGCAATCAGTAAGTGGTCGAGGACAAAAAATGTACTTATGTGTTTTACGGGCTTTTAGTCTGATGGTGGAGAATGCATAGAGAATGTACGGGATGTATTGTATGGAAGTTATTGACGCATTATGCGAACTGTGTGCTCCGAACCATGATTCTGTTGAAAATAAAATAGATGAATGAGCTATGAACAAACAATCAGTCTTATGCGAGTGAGTTTGTAATTACACCTGCACGAGAAACGACTCTCACGTAAACGCAGTGTGGCCAGATCGGAGAAATTGAGGGGAATACTCTCTCCTTACTGTTACTTTTTTTACTTTGGTACTTCGGCCTTGGCGGATGTCCGCTGATGAGGAATGGGATAATAGAAGGGGTAGAGTGGGAAAAAAGACTTTTCCTGGCTTCACTGACAAGGAAAGGTATTGAACCTGAAAATTCAAAAAATTATAAAACTTTGCTTATAAGTAGAATAAGTCAAGTCCAATACATTTCAATTTTTTTATGCCGAGTTTCACTTTGAAGGGGTGACACCACCTCTTGAAAAAGATGCGAATTTTTCTTTCCTATGGATTATCTTGAAAACGATAAGGGGATAGCGAAAGAAGTTTAAACAGAAAGTACATTGTTCTTTCACGTATATCAAATTTTATAGAAATAGGATAGCATATTAAATTTTATACCTTTTCTTGTGAGTATAGATTCATTTCGGAGCTTTATTATAAAGAAATATACGAACTTATGTATACTCATGTACCAAAAAGAACAAGGCTCCTGAGATGTTATCTATGATACATAATGGTGCCCCAGTTTTAAGACTAAAAGACTAAACCAGAAAGAATCGTATTTCATAGTGAACTAAAATCTAATGAAAATACTAGGCACCAAAGTGGTCAGTCAATATAGTACGAATACGCGAACAATTAATATTTTCCTTCAGTAATATAACAAATAATATTAATTTTGTTCCATATATCATACATATTGAAATAGTCTTCTATAGATAAAACAAATTATCGTCATATATTTATATCATATAGTAGATGTGTTGTGTTTTCCAATTATAAGAGATTGTTCAAAGGATGTTTAAAGGATGTCCATTGCTATAAATTAGTAAATAAACAAACAGCAATCAAGTATTTTATATTCTGTGTAGGCTTCTCATAAAATGCTCCTTCTCTTCTTTCTATTTTAGCTATTGAACTACAATTTTCGCAATACGGGAGTCCATTTATCCCGATTATTAGTTTAAATGAACTTGAAATCTTCATGTTTATAATTTTCGGAGTATATTTTTATACAGTAAATATAAATCAATGTAATATTGTGTACAGAATTACAAATGCAGTTTTTACCATTTTTTTAAAATTGAAGGTGGAAATCATTTATTGGTAAAGAGATTAAGCACTAGCAAACTTCAACCTTTGCAGCACAAGTACTTCTAATTAACTTAAGTATTCATTATTTCCTTTCAACAGCTATAGCAATTCCCAGTCCACCACCAGCACATAAAGCTGCAACACCTTTTTTGCCTCCAGTTCTTTCCAAGGCGTATAATAAAGTTACTAAAACCCTAGAGCCTGAGAAATGATATTTTAGATACAGTAAATATGTTAATACAATCTGTTTATTAATATATTTTATTTACCTGATGCACCAATTGGATGACCTAAAGCAATAGCTCCTCCAAGCGTATTAACTTTAGAGGGGTCCAAACCAAGAGTTCTGACACATGAGATTGCTTGTGATGCAAAAGCTTCATTTAATTCATATAAATCCACCTCTTCCTTTTTCCAATTTGCTTTTTTCAACTGAAATATTTATTTACCAATATATTATAGCATAATCTTGAAATTATGAATTGTTTATACATATCGGTAAAATTATTGTATAGTGCAGTTCCGAAGAGTTGTAAACTACCCACAAGCTGAAAAGTCAGAGGGGCAGGAGGACTCTTCCACTCAGAATGTTCAGGCTACTTCCGGTTTCGACGCGTAGTTCTTATTGGCTGGGAGGCAGTAACAAAGGACGGAAGCGGGATTGAATGCGACGGAGTGAGATGTAACAAGAGAGACCAAAGTTCATAGTGCCGTCAACTTCGTTCTCTATCGTTACATCTTACTCCGTCGCATTCAGCCCCGCTTCCATCCTTTGTTACTGTTGCGCAGCCAATACCAGCCACCCGTCGAAACCCAAGGCGGTCCGAACATTGTGAGTGGAAGCACCCCCTGCCCCTCTAACTTTTCAGCTTGTGGGTAATCTGCCAATTCGTCGGTGCTGCACTATATCTACTGGACTCTTCTGAGCGTAGTGACCTGAGAGTTAGAAGTACACACAGGTTAGGGGAGATGTCCTTGTTATTGGCCGAGTCGCGTAACGAGGAACGCAAGTGACACGAAATGGGACAAAGTGAGATGTACAAATATTAACGTCGGATTCCACTTCGGCGCGAGAGCGGCTTTTTGTGTTTATCGTATTCCAGGAACGTAGAGGCTCAGTTTCTATGTTTCCTCGAAGAACCGAAGTGGATCGTGCTGCCGATTCTCCTTGTCCCTTTGCACTTTTAAAACGTAGGCGGCTACTGTGCTTGAAAAAGGTGGATAGTACTAACCAGTAACTCTACTGCTGGAATAGGACCTGTGCCCATAACTCTGGGTTCCACTCCTGCTTGAGCCACTGCAACTATTGTGCCTAATGGAGTCAGTCCTCTTTTCGCTGCAGTTGCTGCTGACATAAGTATTACTGCTGCTGCTCCATCATTCATGCCAGAAGAATTGCCAACAGTGACAGTACCATCAGTCTAATTGTGCAAAAATTTCAAGAGTTACTATATTATTAAATAGCTCAATTTATTTAAAAAGAAAGGAAAGCTTATACCTTTGTAAAGGCTGGTTTTAACTCTTTAAGTATTTCAGTAGTTATTCCAGGCCTAGGATATTCATCTTTAGATACTATAATAGGTCCTTTTGCACTGGGCACTGTTACAGGGATCATTTCTTTATTGAAATATCCTGCATTTATTGCTACTTGTGCTTTTTGCTGAGATTTAGCTGCGTATTCATCTTGTTCTTCCCTGCTTATTTTATAGTCTTTAGCAATATTTTCCGCTGTAAATGATATGATACATTATTAGATACACACGTGTACATGCATTTAATGTTACAGGGATTTACATGAATAATAAATGTATATGAATCAGAAGAGTGTGTACAATGTGGTTCTTGTACCTGTTACTCCCATATGAATACCATGGAATACATCTGTTAAGCCATCTGAAATTAAAGAATCTGACAAGTTGCAATCCCCCGTTTTAACACCGTTCCTAAGGTATACCGTATGTGGAGCTTGACTCATGCTTTCTTGACCACCACTTACAACTATTTGGCTTTCACCAGCTTTTACGGATAAATAACCACTTATAACTGCTCTAAAAACACATGTTTTCCTTGTAAAAGATATATTAAATACCAGTGTGCAAACAAATTTAAATTTGGAAGATCAGCTGTGATAAGAGCAACATTGACACTGCAAACTTTTTACAATATGTGTTAGCATACACAAACAATATTCAATATTTACCTTAAACCAGATGCACATAGCATATTAACTAAATGAGCAGGAACAGATATAGGAATGCCAGCTTTGATAGCTGCTTGCCTTGCTGGATTCTGACCTTGCCCAGCAAGTAATACCTGAAATACCGTAGTTTGCATGCATTATAAAATCGTACACAAAGCATTTATAACACTGATTCCTTGCCGATTTAAATATGTTATCAAAATGATCATTCTAAATAACTTTTCTCTACATATACCACCGCAGTGTAGCAGTGTGTAGTGATTCAGAAGTTATGAAACATTAAAGGTTCGTATTGTACTAGAAGTGTTCGTCTTCACTGCCTTTTATTGAGGTTATGTTCCTTACAATACGTGTAGGGATACATCGAGAGGACAAAAATTTCTAGTATAATACGAAACTTTAGTACTCGATAACTTTTGAAGCAGTGCTCAGTGTTACACTGCGGTAATATGTATAGGGGAAAGTTGCTCAAAATGATGACCTTGACAACATATTTCAAGGTCATTCCAAGGTCAATGTCATTAAAGTGGTGAGATATTAGTAATGTAAATAATGTAGGCATTATTGAAGAAGTATGTAGTGCAACGCGGTTTATCTAATGTACTTCACTACTGCCTCCTTCCCTCCCTCCTCTCTCTCTAACTCTAACTCTAACTTTAACTCTAAGCTGACTGACTTTGGTTCTATACTCGATCTCCCGCAAGTTATTCCGCAAATATAAGTTATTATCAGTCGCACGCACATTCCTACGCATACAAACTCCGCGGTCATTCCACCTTATCATTGTCCCTACTTTGAATTCACTCTTCAGGGCAGTCACCTGTCGCCTACTCACATGTAGGTGACTTTCGCACTCTCGCTGTCGCCCCCTCACACTCGCTCGCGAGGTCAATCATCTGTCGTACTATTTACAATTTTGGGACATACGAAAGGCAATGTATAAAAACAATTGCCTATTAGAGAAAACACGTAGCGACGGTTTAACCGTAGTTTACCTCTAACGGCTCGGCTTCTTATAATAATTACCAAAAGTTGCTCAGAATCAAATCCCCCACAACATATTTCAGGATGATCCAAATCGGTGAGGAATCAGTGTTGTAAATAATTACAGTGAATTTTTTTAATTATGCACTTTTTCTGTTCTACGGATTATATGAAAAACACGACATTGTGTTATTAAGCTATCTACTGTATGCTATGATTTCAATACATTGCTTTGCTGAATAATAAACTATGAGCTTACCTCCCCAAAAATGACTTCAGAAACTTCGTTGGGATTAACATTAGCTCTTGCTAGAGTTTCTTTAATGACGGCAGCTCCTAAGTCGGATGCTTTCAACGATGATAAGGATCCACAAAATGATCCTATTACAAATTATAGTTTAAAGAAATTGAAAATAACGATTGATTATTAAATATGGTTTTTAAATAACTATTAATTTGAAAGAGTAGAAGACTAAATGTAATAGTAGTACATTGTGATTAGAATTTAACAAGTTTCTCTTAGTTACAGTTTACTGTTGAGTAAGTGAAAGTGCCATCAGGCTCTTCTGAACCTCTTTTATAAAGTCTATATGAATAAATATTCCTACATCTACAAAAATAAAATTTCTAAATTTACAACTCCTTCATTAGTAAAAGATATTCAAATTTTACTGATTGTCAGTGCATATCAAGCCTGTTAAGTTTAACAGAGTGTGTATTTTAAATTGAAAATTTGATTGCTTATATGATGTTATTTAAGATGAGTTAGTAGTATGTCATGGAATGAATGTAATTATTTTCACTCGACAGAACAATTTACTATATAAGATACAAAATGACCTATGGGTGTTCGAGCTGCCGATACAATCACAACTTCACTTGAACTCATATTGAAATCGTGTTACAAATTACATCCAAACTTAAGAACAACTGAACAAAGACTGTCACCACGGGCTTATATAACATCAGCAGTGTAGCCAGCACGAGCAAATTGAGGGGAATACAGTTACCCTCTCCTTGGAGTTATTTTTCTACTCAAGTACTTTGGCCTTGGCGGATGTCCGCTGATGAGGAATGGGGTAGCGGAAGGGGCAAGGTAGAGCGGGAGAAAAGACTTTGGTACTGGTTTGTTCTGTCCCTACCACTTACCCATGACTCACTGAGCTTCTGCCATTGCGCAAGTAGAGCTAACAAGGAAAACGAAAAAAAAATAGAAGATCTATGCTAGACCTAACCTAGACTTCATTCAGATGTATCTGCATAAGTGGTGAAGATAGAACGTATTTCTATAAGTACCGGGGACAGAACAAACCAGTACCAAGATATTTTCTGCTTCACTGGTGCAAATAGAAAGAACACATGAAGTATAACAATTTTTATGAACATTCTTTACTTATCACATGATTAGATAAGATTCTAATTTTACACTTCCGCATCGCGTGGGTTCCTGATTAGTGACACGAATATCTGTTTAGAGCTATATAAATAGTGCGGTAATACTCTGGAGTACAAGTTTCGAACGAAATGTATACAATTACATGTGTCGGGTTATATTTCCTAGAACAGTTTCGATTGATGTGCTGAAATTTAAAAAATGTTGACGCAAAACAATGTAAAATATTGAGGAGAATGTTTTGAAATTTTAAATCAGTTATTGTCATTTTGACGGGTTTCCTTGCTCTGGTGGTAAATACAGTGCGTTAATGACGTGAGCCAAGCCAGCCAGTGGCTTAAAAGTGTTGAGGGGCAAGAGGACACGTCCACTCGTGGCGCTTGGCCCGATAGTAATGGCGGAATTAGTTTCGGCACGTCTTTGTTACTGGCCGACCCGCGAACTGAGGTGGAGCGTGCGGCTGAATCCCCTTGCACCTCTTCACTTTTGAACCACAGGCCGGTTTGGTTCACGCGAGTAACGCAATGTACTTAAAACTTAGCAGTATACAGAATTCTCACGATTATGAAAATTTTTTATAAGTTTTTTTTTTGTAAATGAGACCAAAAGAAATATGGCATGCTTTAAGTCAGAATTTACTAGAAAAAAATAGATTATTGTAATTTATTAACCATTTGCACTCGTATGTCATGCTAGAGATGACAATACAAATTTTTTTATAGAAAAAACAAATATAAAATGTTGAATTCTAAATTACCTGAATTAATTTCCCTAAAAATAAATACAAGTTTACAACCAACAACAATGAAAATAAATCGAGTAAATCGAGAAAATATATCGCGTTTGATCTCGTTTTAATCAGAAAAACCTCGCAATTCATTTAATAAAAATTTCAGTCAATAAAAGTGAAAAAAAAAGTTTAACGTTGCATTAATATCTCCTCATCCATCTGTTTGTTTTAATCGTTCCGAACATCGGATGTTTCGCTCTTTTATTCGCGGTGTCATTCTCTACAGACGACAAACAGAGGAACTCGGCTAGGATTTTAGCTCGACTTCGAATCAACGTCACTGCATGATTAGTGCCCGGTTACAGTCCCGATTTGCGGGTAATACTAATCGCGAGAATATTGTATTCAGACTTCCGTAAGTGACTGTGTGATTTTTATCTGTATATTTTCGTGGTTTTACGCCGCTATTCCTTTTTGTAGGTCGACAATCCATTACAATTGTTGACCCGACCTTTCCTCGCGTTCGTTTCCCCGAATGAAAATTTAGAACCGCAGTAATCCCTTTTAATTGTTAATCTGATCTGATCTTTCCAACTTCGGGTTCACCTCTTTGAAAAGAAAATTTAGAACAGACACATACATTGTTGCAGGTTCTTATCTAGACGTTCCGTAGTTAAGAGGTTAAAAGCCTTGCTTCTTTCAAACAGAAATAAAACACCGCCTAACTTCTCGCTTCGCTTATTTTACAAGTATTACTTTCAAGTACTCTGGAGTTAGCAGTTACAAAGAAAATTACTTGCGTCTTACTTAGAGGACACGATAAGAAGACTAATTAAGAAATTATTCTGCCGAATATAATCAGAATAATTTTAACTAAAATTGCAGACATTATAAAACATTCGTGTACTCGTACTTTGTAGAAATACTTTCGTCAGAAATAGATAGCTATGGTTAGATTATAACTTATTATTGACAAATTCAGTTCTTACTAATTCAAGATTATCTATACTTAATAATTTGTTTTCATCTGTTTTAACGAATTATAGAAATAATTAGTCTTCGTTTATCAATATGCTTTATTTTCATCAAACTTTGATTCTCTATTCAGCATTTTGTAATTTCGGGTAATGGGATATATTTATTAATAATAATAACTTATAACATCTATTAATAATAACATATTATCTAATAGATATCTTCGAATGTTTCTACAGATCGATAGATTGGAATAGAAACGAAAAAAGTTTCCACTAGTAAAGAATTACAGGCAGAAAGCGTTTGTGTGAGCGCGTGGCTAAAGTAATCAAAGGATTAAAGTCTTATGGAATGCGCCAGACATGTTTCTCAAATGTCATTAAAGCTGCCGTTTCCTTTGTAACCACTTTCTCGCTACGGTGAACACAAATCAGAATTTTAAAGGTTTTCCGTTCGGTTTAGCCGGTATTTCAAGTTAAGCTCCGCATAACGATTAACGGTAAATTAAGTTAAGCCAACTACTCGTCATTATAACATCGTTTACGCCGCTTCGGCAACGTATTTTGTATTACATTCTAGTAATAAATTTGCATCGTAATGAAACGTTACGGAGAAACAAACCTCCACAATATCACAAACGATCATGAAAAACTAAATGTTTCTGTAACAATATACGAATATTATTTTAAACCATTCAAAATTATATCAATGTCGTTTAAAATGGTGTATTTGTTGTCGATGAATTAAAATAATAAACTAAAATTCACGAAGTTATTGCACACAGAAGGATAAAACAAATGGAATAATTTGGAGTTTTCCATTGCTATTCTAATACTTCTTTTTCGAAACAACCATTAATGTTAATTAATGAATATCTCACGAGTAATTTAACGTTAACCCCTTAAGAACCGGTTATAATGTTTCATTAGACACAAATGAATAGGATTATAGCTGTACAGTACACACACGTAATACTTATAGGAGGTGGCGTATAATCAGCCCCCATATTATTTGAATTTGCATAGCACAGAGGAAAATGCATAGCAAAGAGGAAGATAGCAAAGTTTCTATAATTGATGATAATTATATTTAACGTGCATATAGTTTCATGCTAATGAAATTTATCTATGTCACTTCACAGGATAATATTTCAATTGAAAGTGTATGTTATTGCCTTGTTTTAAATAGGTGTTGGTGATTCATGTTACTACTTGCTGGATTATAGCTATTATATACTCGTACCTATTGGTCCATTCTGTTTCCACTAATAAATTATATGTACTATTTATATGATCTGTTGCTTTTTGCTATATATAGTATATTACGTTCTATATACATCGCTCTCCATGTTCGGCACTTTAACGATTCACTTTCAATAGTCCGGTGTTGCCATGATCTGATTTATGACGTTGTTCCCAACCGTTTGTTCCTAAGCGTAATTATGCTTTGTGAAACCATCCGTATAATTGTTGCGTATTTGCGATAGTATTGTTTTTGGTATGTAAATTATACGTATGCCATGCACATTAGTTTCATCTCTTGTTTAGCTTTAGGAGAACCCTGCCCTGTTTTGTTATTCCTCGTCTCTGCTTTGGAAAGCTTTCTTAATGCGAGATATAATAGATGTTTGTAGATGCAGATTGTTTCGTTTTACACGTATTATTGCATTAAATAATATCATATTATTGAACGGTTATTTTATAGGTCCGAATGTATATATGGATCACACATCAACCAAATCGGTTAACTTCACAAAGCAAAAAGTAGAGAAAAATGATGTAATAATCATACATTGATTTTCAAAATTTTCCTTTAAATAGATAATTAAATAATTATTATAGAACGTATTTTGCTTCATTATTACAAGTGTAGGTTTAATCTAATAAATACGTAAAATATATAAAGCAGTGTAACATTGAAATAATTTTTATTATCACTGCAAGTTTTTCATTGACCCTAGAATTTTTGTTATTTCGTGGAATTGCATCCAATAATAAGGAAATTAATTTTAAATATGAAAAGTCAGGAGCCAATGAGGCGTCTTAACGATACAATCTTAAAAAATTCAAAAAGTAGAGTTAATCAATTTGGTCAATGAGCAGCTCATATTGTGCGCACGATTTGATTTAAATTCATTGTTTTATTGCAAGTTGTGTAATAAAAATATTGCTATAGTAGTAACAACAGATGCAGTGGTTTACATCGAGTAAAACATGTCGCATACTCTATACAGTTTAGAGATGACTTGATGTCTAGTGGAATGTACAGGAACAAGAGGTGTCTTTCCATTTTGCACTTTTGTAGTTTTGATTGGTTACATGTAACCATATTTTTTGACGAACAGCAAATTAGTGATGGAAAATAAAACTAACAATTACAACTAAAATAAATTAGGAAAATAAAACTAACAGAAGATTAGATGAGAAAAAAATGAAAACTGATTAAAATTAGATTCACGGAACGAGCAAATTTGATTTATATCCTAATTCTAATATTCTACTCTAGTTCTAGTACAATAAATATCCGTAAATCTAACGTTAATCAACCGAATTCTTCAGTTTAGTTATCAAGTAATATCCTAGCAATAAGTCTGTTCCGTTTCATTTGTCAATTATGTCTCAAACAATATATTGAGGATACTTACAGTGCGTGATTTTTATGATTATAGCTACTGAATAATCACCTACTATAACGAATATGTAAAGATACGATTTTTCCATTTACTTTGAACACTAGAATTACCAAATGGAAAACATATCCTATTTTTCTTCTACAATGACCGAAAGGTACAGATACAGTCTGTTTGACAAGAGCGTGTACGGCAAAACTCTTACCTGCGATGCCTTAGGTAAGAAATTCCAAAAAACCTTCAGTTGTTGATCGAGCTTATTCGTAAAACGTAAA